TACATGAACGTACCTTGAATGACGTCCACTGTCATAATAGTCATGATACCTTCCGGCGTTGTAGCGGGTAGTTGGTACAGACGGCTGGTAAAAGCAGGCAATCATTTGCAGAGAGATGTGTTTCGAAAGTATCAGATATTCTTAAATGAGGACCCAGTCAGCCTAGGTGGCTCGAAGACCTTAGCGAATGTCTTCAAAAGACATTTGTACGTCACAAAGGTTTGCTAATCCGCGCTAGATCATCTCTCTGACATCCACAGTGAGAATGGAAATGAGGCCGAGCTCATCGAGGCCATACATTGTTTTGTTTGCTACACGGCCGCGGGTGCCATGACGCTAAAAAGTAAATGTTAATTTAATGGCGAGCCAAGTTTTAGCAAATCGCTTTTGATTAAAAGAATGTAGACAAGACAAGTTAATATTTTAGCATTACAATTAACTTTGCTTAATATTTTACATGGAATCATAATCGAGGCAAGTTGGAAAAGGATAAGATATTGACAAGCAAAAGGTGTTGAGCTATGCGAGAAATCGCATTCCAATAGAAATGAGAAACCAATGCATCTTAACAAAATATTATTATGAGGATAAGAAATAAGGGAAAGAGAGGTAAGAGGAGAAGAGAGAAAAAGAAAAGAAAAGCTAAATGAATGAGAGAGGAGTGCAGACTGACTGAATTGAGGAGACTGGAAATGAGGGTGAGGGATGAGCTTAATTTGTGTAAAGTCAGGAATGTATATTGAATTATATGGAAAATATTAGGGAGTATTAATTGAGGGCATTATATTTTATGATGTGAAATTCACGGTGTTTCTTTCAACATGTTGACCTTTTTCCTCAACCAATCTCCACTCTCTCCTCCTGGACCAGCCTTAATAGTACAATTAATTGTGATAATTGCAATAGTCCCGAAGCCTTACAATCGCCCAAATGCCCACCCCAGACTGAAGACAACATGACTCAAATACAGCCCATTTTGTAGAGCTGTAGCCGGGCGTCGTGACACAGGCCTTTATGACTTTGATGTATAGGATTCTAAACTTTTGGCGTTACCTTCCCACTTCAGCATGAATTGGGAAGCCCGGGCGTAGGAAAGCAAGTCGGAACAGGTGATACTCCGTTCGGTGTGCAACGAAAGCCGAGCTCTGACAGGATCCTCTGAGTTGTGGCCCGGCGGAGTTCCCAAAATCGCCCAATCGTCCGAGTCGGGGGCAGAGAAGGAGAGTGGGAGGACTGTGACTATCAGGCGGCCTACCAGAATATGACGGGACGGCGAGAGGGTAATTGAAGTGTGTGTGTGTGAAAATGTGTATGTTTGTATTCATCCATTTCCCCATTTAAATGTGTATATGTATGTATGTGTGTTTGTGTGTATGTGTGTGTGTGATTCGATATCCAATTCCAAGGTTGCTGTCGCATAGGTTCATGGGTGGGCTTTTTCCCGGGCCTCGCAGGTGTGTCCACGCGCGTTCGGGTTGGCCCTCCTAAAGGTGGTATGGGAAATTAAGATATGAAGAGGCAACGGGACAGCAGGTGAATCTCACCTGCCCTGCCCATGCCGGCCCACCCCGCCTTGCGGCCTCGGATACAAGCGACCGAGGGCGTTAGTTTGCAGCCCCCATTATTGGAGGGACTCAATTGTGCTTTCGTGATAGCCGACTCTGCGTACACATACTAAACCCCAGGGAGAATGGGCGGGAAATTTATATATATGTGTGTGTGTGTGTGTGTTTGTGTGTGAGAGGGAGCAGCAGGATAGGGGACGGGAGAACTAAGAGCCACGATGCTGATAATCCTCTGGCCAAATATTCCTACATACAGGCCGAGGTACAGGACTTGGTGGGCCTGCAACGATGGCCAAATAGTCAAATGCGCTTGCGAAAAAAGCGCTATTTGATCTTTTTAACTGAAGAGAATATTTTCATAATGATGAGTGTGTGTGTGTGTGTGTGTGTTTAATTCTGTTTGATCTGCTTGATCTGCTTGAAAAAGGCCTTGACATATATTCCCTGCGACGGGTCCGACACGACCTACTGCAGACGCAGATTGTAAAAGACGATTTCGTCCAGTTGCGCTGGCGCTGAACCATCTCTTTCGCCTCAATCCATCATCGCCGGACAGTCAGAGGGGTTGTGAGTGTGCTCTGCGGGGCGTGGAAATCCCGACACACGCCGGTGGGTGTGGACGATCTGCCGGTAATGATTTGCTAAATGACTGCCACACTCGTGGGGTAGCCCAGTCTGGTCGGCGGCGAGCCGAAAACTCCCATTTCTCTGTGCATTTCCAGAAGAGCTACATTTCGGCCATGTTTAGGCCAACTTTCGGCTGTGCATACAGCTTGCGTGAAACAGACAAAGACGACGGAGGACAGTGATAATACATTTTCCAACAATCAGTTAAGTAGACCTCAGGATATTATTAAGGTTTACTGGGCCTCTTGACACGCACAAAGTATTCTTGTCCAGTGCAAAAAGAAGTTTTTACATCGCACATCATATTCATCAGTGGCATTAGAAAAACATCCATCCTTATCATCGTACCATCAACACCCATTACAAGAATCGAGCCAGCTATCTCATATAATCTACACTCGTCTCAAACCATCCTCTTATATATACATTTTTATTGTAAGATTGTCGTCGTGAAAAAACATGTATTTGACCATGTAAGAAATATTTTAAAAAATTCAGGTTAATTTTAAAATCATCTCATTTGAAATAGCATTAATAAAAGAATTATCGAATAGTCATTACTGAAGCTCGAAGTTGCGTCGCCATGAAATTTTTACCGTCAAACTTTAGAAATATAATGTAGGAGGAAGAGAAAATAATTAGAGGATAATAAAGAGAAGAGAAAATACAAAGTAAGAAGAGATTAAATTAGATTGGAATAGAATAAAATAGAATAGAATAGAATAGAATAGAATAGAATAGAATAGAATA